TTTGTAAATGTTAAAAATAACGAATAATTAACGAATTACAAAATTAACGAACGAAACCGCCCAGCCCTAATACCTACAACTATACTTGATATACAATAGCCTCTGCTAGATTTAAACTATGTTGTGCTAGTATAGTATCTCTTGGCGATTCCATTTCTGTTTCCCAAATCCTTTTTAAACCGTGTCCAATGAGTAAATATTCATACTAATTAAAGATTCTCCTCAATTAAAATCCAAACGTTCACAGATATTCTCTGTATATATTAAAATGTTAAGCAACTGAGCAACAAACAATAGAAATAAAACTGGGTGTGCTTTCAATTAAAAACACGTTTATCTCCCCCTTTTCTCAACTGACAGCCCTATCTTTGTGTCCCAGCGAGTTACTGCAGCAAAGCCGTGGCCACTCCTTCAATGTTCTGTTCTCCAATATGCGGTTTATCCTGACCTTCAGAAACATCCCTCCTTAAATTATCAATGTTTAGGGATTATAGATGGATGGTAAAGATACAGCCAAGGCGTTTGTTACTGTTCCTCTCGACTTGTTGTGTTTGCAGTTGCAGATAGATGATTGGAAAAGTAAACTGAGCATGTTTGATGTTTGGATCTTTTGTTTCAGTCACATACTTTGCTTACGTGGATTTCAAACATGGATAAAGGAAGGCGGTAGTCTTGATAAGTCTGGGACTAACTCAGATTGAGTTTACCTTAAAGCAGTGTTTTTCAACCTGGGGGTCGGGACCCCTGGAGGGGTCGCAAGGGGGTGTCAGAGGGGTCACCAAAGATCATCAAAAAACAGTATTTTCTGTTGGTCATGGGGGTTCTCTGTGGGAAGTTTGGTACAATTCTGTTGTTAGTGGGGTTCGGAAAGCTCTTTGATGGTAGGTGAACTAGAAATCTCAGCAATTACAACTCCCAAATGTCAAGGTCTGTTTCCCCCAAACTCCACCAGTGTACACATTTGAGCATATTGAGTATTCGTGCCAAGTTTGGTCCAGAGCCATCATTGTTTGAGTCCACAGTCCTCTCTGGATGTCGGTGAACTACAACTCCAAAACTCAAGGTCAATCTGCACCAAACCCTTCCAGTATTTTCCAATAGTTATGGGACTTTTGTGTGCCAAGTTTGGTTCAGTTCCATAGTTGGTGGAGGTTTTTGATTGTAGGTGAACTATAAATCCCAGCAACAACAACTCCAAAATGACAAAATCAATCCCCCCCCCCAACCCCACAAATTTGGGTGTATCGGGCAAATTTGGTCCAGTGAATGAAAATGCATCCTGCATATCAGATATTTACATTACGATTGATAACGGTAACAAAATTAGATTTATGAAGTAGCCACGAAAATAATTGTATGATTGTGGGGTCACCACAACATGAGGAACTGTATTAAGGGGTCACGACATTAGGAAAGTTGAGAAACACTGCCTTAAAGTATCTTTTGTTGTTGTTGTTGTTGTTGTTGTTGTTCAAAACAGTGGCGTTAGCTTAGCTTCCAGAACTGGACAAGATTTGGTGCCTTTAGTTAGCTGACACCAAAGAACAGAACGTCTTTTGCAGTCATCATGGAGTCCTGTCGCTGAAGTCTTGAGACATTGGGTCAACCCCCCTGAGTTTGCCAAGACCCAATAAATCTTTTTTGGCACACCCTGTCCCCAATCTTTGAAAAACGAGTAAAAAAGGGGAAGGAAGGCTGGATGAGAGCAGGTGTTGGAGCAGAAGGAAGGAACATCCACTCTCTTCGCTTTCCCTACAGAGAATTAGTTGGCCAGACAGTCTGGACTTGTTGCTTGTGCCGTTGTTTGCTAATGAGAATCAAAGCTGGGATATTCTTGTCTCCAGTTCAGCGCAGTGAAGTGTGTCTTGCATCCTAGCCCTGATTTTTAAGAAAGTAGAAAAAGAAGCTCAAAAGGCACTGGCAACACACAATTTGGTGCTTCAAATGTTATTATTATTATTATTATGTTTATGTTTATTTATACCCCGCTTTTTCTCTCCGCATGGAGTCTCAAAGCGGCTTACATTAAAAGCATTTCAGTACAATTTTAGCCATGTTTCTGGGTATATTTGACCTTAGGATTCCAAAAATGGAACCACCTTTCCCCTATCGGATTGCTCACCGGAGAGGCATACATGGAGCATACAACCCTCCTATTACGTCAGCTCCACTGGCTGCCAATCTTGCTACCGTGCACAATTCAAAGTGCTCATTTTAGCCTATAAACGGTTCTGGCCCAGCTTATCTGTTCGAACGTTTCTCCCTCTATGAACCATCGTGAAGTTTAAGATCATCTGGGGAGGCCCTGCTCTTGTTTCCGCCTCCTTTGCAGTCGCGATTGGCAGAAGACGAGAGACAGGGCTTTCTCAGTGGTGACCCCTCAGCTGTGGAACTCCCTCCCCAGGGGTATTAGATCAATCCCCTCCCTCCTGACCTTCCACAAGAGAGTGAAAACGTGGCTTTGTGATCAAGCCTTTGTGCAATAGATAGATTTGGAAAAATGTGCAATGACCATTGGCCAAGATTATGCTCGTGGATTATGTGTTTAACTTTGAATGTACTGTTTTTAAATCTTTTAATTGTTTTTAATGTATTTTTAATTCTATTTTAATATTTATTTAAGTGTGCGTTGTGTTTTGAGGCATCAAATAGTTGCCTTTATGTAAAGCCACCTTGTGTCCCCTCTGGGGTGAGAAAGGCGGGTAGAAATGTTGTAAATAAACAAATATCATCCCTATAGTTTTTGAGATACAGACCATTTGCCATATACCCTACTTTATCTTCTTACCCATAGAAAATCATGATAACCAGCTGATATGATCTCTCCAATGCAATTTTCTGAGTCAGTGCCCCAGGAGAACCCCAGGAACGGGTCTAAAAACAGGACAACAAGAAAAATATTTTGTTAGGCTGTGTTATGAATCTCTCACTTGTCCTTATTTCTTCTTTTCACCAAGTCTTTAGGGGACAAGGAATGTTTGTTTGTTTGTTTGTTTGTTGTTATTTTGGCACCAGTGTTCTCAGCAATGGTGTGCATTGTGCCATGAAAAGTGTTTTTAATGATACAGCTAGCAGCATTTACCAAGCTCAGTTGGAGTCCCAGAAAAGGGGCAAGAAGGGTTACTAGGGTACTAACTGGAGCTAGCTATAGGGAGCACACAGTGCCCTTACTAAAGCAACTCCATTGGCTGCTGATCAGTTTCGGGTCCCAATTCAAAGTGCAGATTAATACCTACAAACCGTAAACAGTTTAGGTCCTGCCTCCCCCCATGAACCGACGCAAGCTCTAAGATCTGCCGCGGAGGCCCTCCTCACGGTCCCACCACCGTCACGAGCACAGTTGGTGGGGACAAAGGAGAGGGCCTTCTTGGTGGTGGCTCCCCAGCTTTGGAATGCCCTCCATCCGTAGGGATATTAGGCAAACCTCCACACTGTCCTCCTTCCATAGGGATCCGAAGACCTGGCCATTCAGACATGCTTTTGAGGACGCCTAGTCCATAGCTAATCTATGCAATTGTTATGCAGCCTTGCGCTTTATCCCATGCCCTCGTCCCATGGTTACAGCTCTGCACATCCCATTCCCTGTCCAATCGTTTACAGTCAGGCCACGTTTACAGTTGCTTACCACCATTGGTTGATGAGAGCTGTTTTAATTGAGTTTAAAGTTGTTGTTTACTATGTCTATCTGTTTTATAAAACTGTATTTTAAAATTGTATTTTATCTTATGTTCTGTTTTTGACACTTTGGGTCGATGGTGGTGGGATACAAAAATAAAGTTATTATTTGATACACAACAAGTTTAGTACACAGCAAACAAGATCACTCTGCTGGCTGTTGTATTGGATCACACGTCAGACACTTCCCAAGTGTCTAGGACTGTGTGATGTATCTGCGAATAATGCGTGCAGATCCAAATAGGATGGCCTTTTGGAGATGACAGATGGGAATTTTTCTCAGCACCTATTGTGTTTAAGTGCAGGCCAAGGTCTGTAGGCACCACCCAGTGTGCCGATCACCACTGTGACCATCTTTACTGGCTTGTGCCAGAATCTTTGCAGTTCGATCATTAAATCCTTGTATCATGTCAGCTTTTCCAGTTGTTTCTCTTCAATCCTGCTGTCACTTGGGATTGCAACATCGACAATCCATACTTTTTTTTAAACACAATCATGAGGTCAGGAGTATTGTGATCCAAAACTCTGCCAGTTTGAATTCGGAAGTCCCAGATTAGTTTGACGTATTCATTTTCTGTAACTTTTTCAGGCTTGTGATCCCACCAGTTCTTTGAACAGGCAGATGGTATTTGTGGCACAAGTTTTAATGTTGTTGCTGTTATTATTATTATGGGGGAAATCATTTGGGTCATTGTCAGGAAATTCGGTTCACAACCTCTCCCCCTTTTTTGTTTCCCTTGATGCAGCCCACTCTTCGTAACGTGGAAGATTGGCCGAGAGAAACGATTGCGTGGATGTATAGGTACCTTTTCTGCCATGAACCTGCATTCAGGACTCAGGGAGTACACGCTTACTAGGTAAGATTGGGGTTTTTGTTGGTTTGTTTGTTTGTTTGCTAAACACAACTTTTTAATGAAATCTGTGCTGCTATTGACGCTGTTGGCTTGTTGCCCCATTGTGTTCTAAAATTCTCTATGACTTGTGAACAGTTGAACTTTCTTACCGTGTTTTTTCTCCAAAAAGGCAGATAAGGATGAGAGAGTTTTTTAAAAGGACAAACATGGGTGGGAAAACATCAGTGTTTGCATATATTGGAGAAACACAATCAGATTTCTAAAACAGCAGGTATTCTTACCTCTTTTCCGGTGGGTGCCTCCTGTTAGCGGCAATTAATATAATCCTACACATTTCCATTCCATGTTATTATTCAGCTCCACCTTGTTCTTGCGTGGGAAGCCTCTGGACTAGGAAGGTAAGTAATAAGAACCTTTCGCTTTGGTGGCACCAAGGCTGAATCATCTTAGCCTTTTTCTCCCTTTCCAGTGGGCACACAAAGTCTTATACTTAGCCTTGAATTGCTGGTATATTTTTTTTCATTTCCTGAAAAGTGAGTGTAGCCAGGTGCACAGGAAAGCTGACTAGGCTGTTGACAATCACAGAATAGGTTGTGAATTTAAGTTATACAAATGGACTGTGCATTGTCAGGAAGCAAAGTTATCTTTGAAAAACTATTTTTGAAGAAAGGATGGATCAATGATGAGACCTTTAATGAGGCATCTTAATAACGCTGTTGCAATGCTGGCTTGGTTCAGATATAGAAGAATTTGTTGTTGTTGCTGTTGTTGTGTGCTCTCAAGTCATTATGACTCACAGCAATCCTAAGGCGATCCTATGACGAATTTTTCTTGGTGAGACTTGTTCAGAGGGAGTTTGCTTTCCTCTGAGGCTGAGAGGATGTGACTTTCTCAGAGTCACTCAGTGGGTTTCTGTGGCTGATCAGGGATTTGAGCCCTGATCTCCAGAATTCCAGTCTAACACTCAGACTATTGGCTTTTATCTTGGAAATTAAATAGATGGAATAGTGAACAAAGAAGGAAATTCTGTAGTTTAGCACATATCCCTTTGAATGTCGGTGTTGAAGAATAAATGTGTTGCTGCCTGATTCTGTGCAGATACCTTCAACTCTGTGTGTAGAAGATGCATTGAGGGTTGCATTTTTCTGATAGGAAATTGATGCCAAACCTTTCTCATAAAAATAATGGATTTATATATTTATTGTGTCAGAAGCTAATTGCGAGTACAGTTATAATGTATTTAAAAACACAAGCAAAGTTTAAAAATTGGCATTATACTAAATATCCTTTGACCAGAAGCTTGGCCACTTGGAGTGCCTGTGGTGTCACTGTGAGAAGGTCTTCCATTGTGCATGTGACAGGGCTCAGGCTGAATTGGATTTATTTATTTATTTATGACATTTATATGCCGCCCTTCTCACCCCGAAGGGGACTCAGAGCGGCTTACAAGTAAAATGTAAATACAATATATTATATTATTACCATAGCACTATATTAATATTATGTATTATTATATTGTACTATAACATTATCCTATAATATAATTAATAATATTACATTTAATATAAAATAAATAATTATAATATCATATTATTAGTAGTAGTATCCTTGCGCTATGCTACTCTGCTACTGAGTATGCATGCCCAGTGTGGAACACATCTCACCACGCTAAAACAGTAGATGTGGCTCTTAATGAAACATGCCGCATCATCATGGGGTGTTTGTGCTCTACACCACTGGAGAAATTACACTGTTTAGCCGGTATTGCACCACCTGACATCTGCCGGGAAGTAGCAACCAATAGTGAAAGGGCCAAGGCAGTGACATCTCCAGCTCATCCCCTGTTTGGGTATCAGCCAGCACGTCAACTACTTTAATCAAGAAACAGTTTTCTAAGATCTACAGAGACACTCGCTGGAACACCTCAGCAAGCGAGAGTCCAAAAGTGGCAGGCTCAAACCCAGAACCTCAATCAATGGCTGATTGATAGGTACCACTTCTGCAGGAAGGTAACGGTGCTCCATTCAGTCATGCTGGCCACATGATCTTGGAGGCATCTACGGACAACACCGGCTCTTTGGCTTAGAAATGGAGATGAGTACCACCCCCCAGAGTCGGACTCGACTAGACTTAATGTCAGGGTACAACCTTAACCTTTACCTACCCACATCCAAGTACAAACCAGTGTTGACCCTGCTTAAATTAGACAGAATCTAGTACCTTTCTGGTATTTAGGACTTGAGCTGAATAGGGTTTTAATGTTTAAAACCATCCCTTTGAATTATGCCTGGAGTAGCTGGAGCCGAATGGTGTTCCCTGGACGTTAGCAGTGTAATCTTTGAAGGGTAAGCAAAAAGGGTACTTCTGGATGAATATCCTTGACAACGTCATGACTCATCTCCCTCACTTCCACCCACAAAGGGATCTGAGTCCACAAAGAGCGATGAATCATTGGAATTGGCCTCTCTGGCAACCCTGAGTTTGCTCCACGGGCATCCAGGGCAATCCTTTGCTCCTGTCCACTTCACAAAGGAGACAGATCGAAGAGCTGCTCTGCCCTGTGCTTTGACCATGTTTGTTCTCTCTGAGCATCTCCCTTTCTTGAGGCTCGTCTGCTTTTCAAAGAGGTTCTTCCTCTTTATAAGCCCATCTGACTCTCTTCTCATATTATTTGGCACTGAATGTTTTTATTTTCAGTCATATGAAACTGAGTCTTCGTTAACAAGCCATCTTTCACCCAGTTGGTTCAAAGGGATGAGAATACCTGCAGTGAAGAACTTTTTTCCCCAACCTACTGTTTTGTGTCAAATGCATTTATTGATGTGGGTAATTTCATGAGTACTGTGTTTGCTCCACTTTGCGAGTGTGTGTGATGACGCACCGGTAGGAGGAAGAGAAGGAAGAACATGTTTCAAAAGCAGAGTGAAGCACGAATTATGTTTTGCACAACATTAGAGTTCCTCTCCAGATCCAATGTGTGATTTGAGTAAATCGGTTGAATGTCCGAAATCCAGCAATCTAGATTATGAAAAACAAATTGCCTTGTGTTTTACAGCTTCTTCAGGAATTTACTGACCTTGGAAGCAGTTTACTACATCATTTCAGAACAGGTTGACAAACTATTTTTCACATATTGTTGAGCGGTTGTTATTAAGGTTCTTCCCCTCTGGCTAACTTGTTTAGAATTGTTGTTTTGTGTATCATGACATGCCAGTCCTCTTCTCCCTCCAAGAAAACCCAGTTCAGAGTGGGGTTGCCCCAAACAATTGACTTATCTCTGACCAAAACCCCATTGTTTTCTTTTTCACAGCCAGTTTAGAGCTGCATGACCATCACTTTCCAAGGACTTCCTCAGAAGTATGGTATCTAGGGCTCTGATTGTATTGAAAAAGTAATTCATTCGCAGTGTGTTGTTATTACATACTAGTTTCTGTACCCAGCATTGCCCAGGTTATTTGAAAAAGGCATTTCTTAATTCTACAAAACGCATAAGGTTATTGGTGAACTACAACTCACATCATGCCAGGCTAACCCCCTGAAAACATCAGTAGTTAAAGTTTGTCATGTTGGGCAAGTTTGCGCTAGATCAGGGGTCCTCAAATTTTTTAAACAGAGGGCCAGGTCACAGTCCCTCAAACTGTTGGAGGGCCGGATTATAATTTGAAAAAACATGAATTAATTCCTATGCACACTGCACAGAACATGAGAGAGTTCCACTGCTGAACAGCTCACACAGTTAGGAAGTTCTTCCTAATATTCAGGTGGAATCTCCTTTACTGTAGTTTGATGCCATTGTTTAGTCTCCAAGGCAGCAGAAAACAAGCTTCCTCCCTATGACTTCCCCTCACATCTTGATCCATGGCCCTCCTCATGTCTCCTCTCAGCCTTCTCTTCTGCAGGCTAAACATGCCCAGCTCTTGAAGCCGCTCCTCACAAGGCTTGTTCTCCAGACCCTTGATTATTATAGTCACCCTCCTCTGAATACATTCCAGCTTGTCAACATCTCCCTTCAATTGCAGTGCCCAGAATTGGGCACAATGTGATTCCAGGTGTGGTGTGTGACAAAGGCAGACTAGAGTGGTAGCATGACTTCCCTGAATCTAGACCGGGGGTCCTCAAACTTTTTAAACCGATGGCCAGGTCACAGTCCCTCAAATTGTTGGAGGGCCGGATTATAATTCGAAAAGAGCATGAATGAATTCCTATGCAAATTGCACAGATTTTATTTGTAGTGCAAAAAAACAGTTAAAAACAATACAATAATTAAAATGAAGAACAATTTTAACAACTATAAACTTATAAGTATTTCAGTGGGAAGTGTGGTCCTTCTTTTGCCTGATGAGATAGCATTGTTGTTGCTGTGTGCTTTCAAGTCGTTTCAGACTTAGGTTGACCCTGAGCAAGGGCCGGGTAAATGACCTTGGAGGGCCATATCCGGCCCCCGGGCCTTAGTTTGAGGACCCCTGCTCTAGATACGTCATTGGTGGAGTTCTGTGTAATCTTTGGCTGCAGGATAAACTACAGCTCCCACCATGATTGGCCAGTCACCTCAAACCCCTCCAGTAGATTCAATTGGTCATAGGGGTTGTGTGTGCCAAGTTTGGTCCAGATCTGACATCGGTGGTAGTGACCGTGTCTCTGGATGTAACTGAACTACAGCTTCCAGAAATGAAGGTCATTCCACCCAACTCCTTGAATATTTTCAGTTGGTCATGGTGGTTCTGTGTGCCAAGTTAGGTCCAGGGCCGTTATTGGTGGGGTTCAGAATGCTCTATGGTTGCAGGTGAATTATAGATCCCAGTACCTACACTGGCTATAAATCAAGGTGAATTCCTCCCAAACCTCTACAGTATGTTTCTTATGTCATGGGGATCCAGGTCCATTGTCAAATGGGGTTACAGTGATCTGATTTGATGCAGTGTGAACTACAACTTCCATCATGTGGAGCCAATCCCCCAAACTCCTCCAGTATGTTTAGTTGCTGATTAGTTCTGCTCTGTTTG